AAATAAGGTAAATGTATCCAAACAAAGAACATAATTTAATATGTTTTTCAGAAAAAGAAATACATAGATATAAATAGAAAAAAAATTAAAGTTGTGGGTCTGTAGAGATGTCAAACACCATTTTCTTGCTCTGTCCTCTCAAGCCTAATAAAAATAAAATAGAAAACATTGAGTATAGATTGTTTGAATAAGACTAAGAAACTTAGAATTGGTTTGATGTAAGATATACTTACATTGCACGAATTTCAGCCACTTCAATGATGTTTGGATTTGGAATAACCTTAGAAATTGATCCATGAGTGCAAATCCTTACATTCTTTGGACCATCAAAGTAGCGATCGATCTCCCACCATCTTAGAACTGCCACAAGAACACCTCCACCAAATAAACGGTAGTTACGATCAAAATCTAAAGCCTCCCTTTCCATAGCCACACACTCCAATGTATGTTCACTGTTAAAAATTATAAACAATGTTGAAAAAAGAAAAAAATTAAATTCATTTATGTGAATACCATAATTAGGTGTAAAACAAAAAAATACTAACTCTTTGTCTTTTATCTTGAATGATATTCTGAAACCACTAACATCATGAGGATTGTTAGCAACATTCATCAATGGACTAACATCAAAAACAGCCCCAACCACGTCTATTTAAAAAAAAAAAAAATAGAGTTATAAGTAATTACACATAATTTAAATTAATTGCATTTATTTAATTCTTAAATTAACAAATAGAAAAATTCTTAAAATAATAAGATTACCAGCCAAGACACTGACGTCGATGGTATCATTAATGATCGAAGAGAATAATGCAAAATGATAAACTTCATTATGAGGAAGAGGAAGGACATGTTTTACACACGTAGATCTTAGGAAGTAAATCTTGCATGGGTGAGATGTTTTCTTAATGTCATCCGTGTTATCAACTACGGCAAATTTCATTATGGACAATCATTGACCCTCTTCTATAGCATTAGCATAATAATCTGCAAATTTCTCATCAACTATTGCTTCAATCATCATACCCTAACAAAATTAGTCAGATAAATAGTTCAATTAATATATTTTTACTTAAAATAAAGAAAGTATGTAAAAAACCGTAAATATGTAATTAGTACGAAGTAATAATAATACCTCCTCGTTTCCAAGAATCAAAATCAGATCCTTAGGAAGAAACCCTTGCTTAGCCCTAAAAGATTGTAGTACTTTAACGCGAATATGCCATCCGGTTAGAGTCGGGTTTAAAATCGAAAGATTATGAAACTTTTCCATAACTTTTGAGATCTTTTTTTGTATGTGTTTGACTGTAGAAAAAATGTTTGGACGAAAGAAAAGTTTAACAGGAACTGCCTCTATTTAGCATGAAGAAGAATCGCAACAGTAGATATTTAATAATTATTTTTTATTTTAAAAAAATAAGATATTAAAACGGTTTATATATAGAAAGATACGATAGTTAGCAATATTAACTGTATCTATAGTTTCTATTCGCGAATATCTTACCAATCAAAACAATATTTTAATTTATATCATTTCCTATATATAAGGATTACTATCATAGTTTACTATTTTTCAATATATTATGTTGACTAAGTTGCATTTGTTAATAAGCATTGGGTAAAAAATAATTATAATAATATATAATGTTTTGGTACACGTTAGGTTATTCATTTAGTTTAATTATAACTAAATTAGTTTTATGTTTTATTAGTAATAATCTATTTACATAAAACTGTAAAGTTGTTGCGCATTACTAATTTATTAAAAACATTAATTTAACATAGTTTCAGAACATTTTAAATCTTAAAAAAGTTTAACCAACATCAACCACACGAACACGCAATATCTATAACAAACACAGGTTTATGAAATAAACTACAAATAAAATTCATGCTTTCTCAGATGTTGATGCTTCGTCTTGACTTATAATGTGATTAATGTGGTAACGACCAGCGAATTCAGAGCTGCAAAATATGCAAATAATGTGTTAGCTAATCTTTTTGAGATTATTACATTTTATGAGTATGACATGTTTGTTTCTTACATTGTTTTTTGATTGTTCAGCCCATATAGTTCAGGATCAAACCAAAACCTTGAACATCCATAGTCATTTACCAGAATTTGTTCACCTACAAAGAATATATCATTGGCAACAATTAATCTGTATCTTTCTATATACAACAACTATTCTCCAAAAATTCCACTAACCTTCACATGTAGCAATCTTCCAAAACCTAAGCACACAAAAAAGAGGTTGTTTTTTGTATTTTAAACCATAACTTCCAGCGTTCCACACTTTAACAAACTCATCGGCTAAGAATCCAATAGCACGACATGTAATTTGTTCCATCCTAAAATTAATAGTACAATTTTAATTGTATAACTACAACTTTTACATTTAAAAGCAAGTAAACCAAAACGCAAATTAAAAACTTACTTTGGATCCAGTAGTTTGAAATGCACAGATCGATAACCATTACCACAAACCTCAACTTCAGGAAACTCATTTGGCTGGTTTGTAACTTGTGTGAATTCAATGATTATTCCAAAAACATCTATATAAATATAAACAAATGCTTGTAAATTCAAAAATAAAAACAATTCTAAAAACATTTGGATAAATTAAAAATTCGTATAGGTTAGAAAAATTTATTACCAACAGGAAACTCCTTGCATGCTAATCCATTCCGAATATTTAAAACATCTTCAAAGACAAAGTAGTTTTGAGGAGTAACATGTCGAATAACCTCATACATCAAAGTTTTTGGAACAAACTTGATACTATATTGATGTTTTGAGTTTCTTCTGCTTTCTGGTCGAGCTTTCACCAGAAAATCACTTATCACATACCAACGACCCTCTTCTATATATTTAGGAATTTCATTCTTATAATAGCCAAAAGGAATAGCGGCTTCAATTTTATCACCCTGTTTTCACAAAATGTTTAAAATCAAAATAAAAAAATATTTAACAAATTGTTTTAATATATGTTTTTCATCTATCTAGTATGAAAACCTAAATCTTGTATAGGTATAATAAGACACAATAATTGTACCTCTTCATCTGCAATAATCATTTTCCTTATGCCAATAGCTCCTCTTGTATCAAACCAACAGCTCAGAACCTTAGCTTCAATCACCCAATTTGATTTACCTGGACAGAGTTGTTTAACAGTATCCCCAGATCTCAGAAAGTTCATCGTGTTCTTCTTTTGTAAGAATTGGGGAAAGATAATATTTTTTTTGATAAGTACAATGAATGTACTCATAGAATATAAAAATATAAATGTACAACCTCGCAAAGAAACTTTCCTTTTTAATTATTATACATACCTTGTAGTATTTAATATATGCATCTTACCGGAGTACGTGTATATTTGTAAAGTAAATATACTGTATATTTTTCTTAAATATTTTGTAAAGCAAATATGTTAATCTTAAATTTGTAGAGATTTTCTAAAAAAAATAGGCCAATATCTGTACATAGATTCTTGGAAAAGAAAACTGCAAAAGAAAGTCTGCGACATTATGACCGATGGGGTCTACTCTATTGGTAGAATTGTCAAATCATATTGCCAAACGTAAAAATCTCTTGTTTTTAATAAATGCAGATAGTAAAAGCTATGCATTAACAGTGTTTCATTACTCACTTTGGTATTGGTAATTACATATTTATGAAATAAAATATTTAAATCTAATTTCTATCTATTTTTAATAAATAATATAAATTATAATTATGATAATGATTACTTATGTTGACAGTTTCAATTTTATATAATAGATGAAGATTTCTGGATATGTTATAGGCTTATAGCCTTTATGGAACATTTTGATGTTGTAAAAAGAATTTAGTGCTAATATTTTTCTTTTAACTATAGGTCTTATAACCAAACAGAAACAGTAAAACCATAAAGTTTAACGAAATTATAGATAGAACAATAGATAAGCAATGAAAAAACATTATAAGAAAATAGAAAATACATCTTTCTAAAGGAATAATCTATTTTTATTCTTCAAAAATTCCTCGAGCAGCACAAGCTTCTTGATATGTATCGTAGACGACACCTTGAAACGTCCTGAGCTCTTGGTCACTTCTTGGACCTGTTATAAAACGCATTATTAATTTTAAAGCAATATTTCTTTCAATTTTACGTGAACTATAGCTAGCCCGGCCATTCTGTGTCGATCTTCTCCGCATTTGGAATTTTTTTTCTTTCCTGTTCCAAGCAAAAATCTGTGCCACTTCAGAGAATGTTAGTTTCATAGCCTCTGAATTACAAATATTCAGATTGAACCATGCTAATACCATAGGATCGTTTACTTCTTTTGAAACTATATCTCTTGGCATTTTTTAAAAATTAATATTTACTTGGTAATGTTTTATTTTTTAGTTTAGCCAAATACATGAAAATGGCTGCTGCGTGATTGTGAAGTAGTTATGCAAGTATATATATTAATGGTAGTTATGCCTTTAGTTTTAGGGTTAGTATATAAGCAATAAATTTGGAATAAGCAATAATAAGTTGAGATACAGTTAGTATATAAAAGATCTCGTTCAATATTTTATTATGGTAATGCATGTCAGAACATATCTCATATTATTAGAAATAATAAATTTATTACTTAGATATTATCATTTTCCATGAAAATAAAAATAAACCGCAACTTTAGGTAAGTAAATAATGTTAGTTATCAATTGTAATCATTTTGTTCCGCGAATAAAACCAATCTTACATATAATTATGACGGCATCAATTTATTATATTCAGTTTAAAGGAACTAAATCTAAATATTTATAAAAATATTATATTATTTTTATGAAAGATCGTCGTTTCCTTATATATGTAAGCCTAACAAATAAAAATGTGAAAAAGAGTTTGAGCTTTCAAATATTAAGGAAACATCTATCATAATTGTTATGTGTTACTCAATATATTATACATTTATAAATTAAATATTAGAATACTTGTAAACAAAAATGACTCCAAAAATCATATTAAGGCAGCAATATTTATTTATTAATTAAATAACAAAAGAACGAAGACAACAGAAATTATAGAAATAACTCAAAAAGGAAGATCCTAATGATTATGGAAACGTAAAATAATAAAATCCATCCTAAAATCGAAACTTGCTACCATGCTTCATGTTTCCTTATGCTCTAAGCCCGCCGGAAACCTCTTTCTCAATTTCATCACTGATCGAGGTCACACAGATCTTTTTTTTAGTCGAAGAAGAATTCTCATCAGTATCTTCAGTGCTGTTGTTCGATCGCTTAGATGAGGGGGTAGTGGAGGCAGTTCCTATTTGATCGTCAGACTCATTGCTATTAGATATAACAACTTGATCCTATAAAATAAGTAATGTATCGAATTACATAATAATCTCTTGAAGACCATATACTTACTATATGAGTTGTAATATAATAGCTACTATATTTACCTGCTCAATGGAGATCAAAGAATTATGATCAATGGGAACATCAGAATCTTGAGGAGGGTCTACATGTTCTGCATCATCACCCAATTCAACATAGGAAACTTTGTAGGTATCATTCCCACCATGTATATTGTCCTTATCAATGTTGATCAAAAACTGGAAAGTTTTTCTAACTAAACTTTTCAAACAATTAGGCACATTCGTTGGATCTTGAATCTATGTAAAATAAAAAAAGAGTAAGATTATTTATTAGCCCTAGTAAATAGTAAATAGCAAATAGCTAATATATACAATTGTTTGTAGCATTACCTCATCATACACCCCATCGAGAATTTCATCGACGTTCTGATTAACAATTTTGGGAGCACTGTTATCAAAAAGCATACACTTAAGCTCACCAGAACTATCCATCACATCAAGAATCAACTTGAACCTACGGAAAAATGATTCAAAATAAACTAATTAAATGAACAGATAAGTATATAACATTTATTAATTGTGTCACACGTTACCTTGGAGTAACCTTTGAATGACTTTCATTGCACGTCTTACACCAAAACAAAGTTTTCTTGGACTTAAAGACAATTTCTTTTTTTTTTTGGGTACCTTAAAGGCAGTGTTACTACACTTATTACACATAAAGTAGTAGAAACCAAAATCCATGTCAATGTTGAAGATGGTACACATGATTCTGAATTTCGCCTCCTAAATAAACAAAAAGAAAATTAGTTATCATTTTAATTACGAACTATACTAAACATAATATTGAAAAGGTATAAGATACTAACATCAGTCTCGTCGAGAACCTCAGATATGGTTCTTCGGGGAAACCTGTTGAAATACTCAGCTTTCCCAATCATTCTTTGTTGCTTCGGTCGCGTTTCTTGAAGCATCAAGATGACTCCGTCTTTTGGAAGACTAACATATTCTTTTCGTTAATATAAATATTTAATATTAGCATAAACACATATTTAAAATCATAGTTACCAGTTAACAAACTCTGTTACATCCTTGATATCCTCCGAGTTGATAAGCAATTGGGACACATCAAAAGCACTTGCTATGGAACGCAAACCTATAGTTGCATATTTAACATAGATTAATCATGTTAACGATGTAAAAGTATAAAAGTTTATAGAATATGCTCTAGTTACCTTTGAATGAATTGATTTTAGCAAAACGTATTAGACACGTTACCACAGTGTTTTCCGCATTCTCACATGCAGCAAACATGGTATCAGCAAATTTCCCCCAAAGAGTACACATCAAACGTTCGTCGCTAGATTTGCATTAAAAAACAAAAAGGTTATACTGTTTATGAATATTAAAAAAACAAATCATAGGCATTTATGACATACTTTGCATTCCTCAGTTCAACTTCAAGTCGCTTTGTTGTTTTATTATTGACTTCTGAAACCTTGATGGATCCACAAGTGACAACCTGACCAAGAACGTCTATTGAAAAGAAAATAAACATTTCAAAACATTATTTTTAAAACATATGTGGCAAACATTGAGAAAATAGCGATAAACTTACCAATCAAGATATTCTCGTTAAGACCATCCTCCGGAGAAATGTTTTCAAAACTTTGGATATCCAAATATATATCATTGGAACAATGATACCACTACAAGAAATATGAGCATTCTTAACACACGGAAAACCCTATAATATCGTTTACATAGCGGATTCATAAACGCTGTGTTTGCCGGAGCCATCTTAGGGTGGTCATATACGGTAGCGTTTTATGTCCATGCTATCATATGTTTACATATTATAGCATATATTTTGTACTATGATTATCATTGTTGTAACATAATTTTAATGTTGTATTATATTGTGTTGTAGCACTTTATATTTGTTGTATTATATTATACATATAGCTCTTGTTTTATGCTCTGTGCTATTTTATTTCATATATTTAATCCTATTTCACATAAAATCTTTAATTAAATTTATTAAAAAAATTATGTATTAAATAAGTTATCCAAAACATACATACAAAAAAATTAGACTACATCGTATCATCAAACCAAGTCTTATACTAAGTATTTACTATATAACATCAAAACAAGTTCATGAGAGAACGTTAAGACCTTCAGGAACTCCTACTTTCTTCTTGAAAATAACCTTCTCCTTCTTCTTGTTGAAGTCCTTAAAGTCTCCAGCTTTAGTAGATCCATCCTTACTCAAGACATGTCTTCTCAATTTGGCACAAGCACAAAACTCTACGTGGTATATTCTAAGTCTTTAAATGTTCCATTTGTAGTCCTTACTCTCTCTCCTGCAATTATCCAACAAAGAAACTTTACAAGTATATCAACTAAACAAGGATCCAAGCCATTAAACATTGGGATGAACAAGGTTATAATTAAAAAATGGGCAATACTTGCAAAAACAAGGTACTTTAAAACAGAAATCAGAAGCTAACCTTTGTGGAAAACACACGTTCATATACTTGCTTTAAGAATCCACATTGCTCTCTTTGCTTATATACTTTCTTTAATATTTCGAGTGACCAAGCATATAACACACAAGAGGAGAAAATAACATATAACAATGTTGCGTCCATCATTTGTAATCACCACAAAAATCTATGCAACACCAACCAAAAGATAAGATTTTCAGACAATTCATGCAAAAAAACATCAAAAAATCAAGCTAGAATGTAGCTTAATGGTTTTTTTTAAAAAAAGATAGCTTACAATCGACATGAGACTCGAGTCCGGTAGCTGTCGTTATATTAACAGTCTAGAGAACAATATCATCTGAATAAAAAAGTTATAAAAATATTAGACTAGCAGTACAGGAAAATCGGGTATTAATAACGTCACAAAAACGCTATTGTACAATACGACAGCGTTAATAAAAACGCTATGTCATCGCCCGCGATAATAGGTCTTCCACTTTCGATAGCGCTTTTCTTAAGTGTTATATTTAATTATTTATTGATAGCGTTGCTTTATATGCAATTGTAGAGTTTTCAATAGCAGTTCGTTTTTGTTATTAAATAGTTTATTTATAGCACGGTTTATTATAGCATTTGGTAGTTATTTCCAATTAATATATTAATAGCAGTTTCCTTATGTTGCTAAAGAGTTTATTTGATTGCATTTAGTATTATAGCAGTTAATCATCCTATTATTTATCGCGTTTGAAAATATGTCATCGATTGTCTAATTTGAATTTGATTTAAAAATCTGTGAATTTTTATTTGGATAATCATTGGTGTAAATTTTTAATAATTTCAGTTCTATTTAAATTTGTTTTATAAAATAAATGATGGATATATATATATATATATATATAATTTCGTATATAAATAAAATTATGCTAAAAAAATTTTAAAATGACAATTTTCATATATGGGCTAAAAAAATTAAAAAAAATAAACTTTTTTGGGCTTGAATTTGGTTGTTGTTTTTTAAGAGAGCCCACTAAGCCCAAATAAAAATTCAATTATTATTTTTTTTACATCAAAAAATATAGAAAAACAAAATAAAAAAAAAAGTTGCAGCTTTTTCGTCTTCTTCGTCTCCCTCGCTGCAGCCTCCTTCATCGTCTTCTGTAACTTCTTCCTCGGAACTTCTGCAAATGAAGAACATGAGCAATACGTTTTTGTTAATACAAATTGTAAGAAAAATGTAGAGAAATTCACAGATCTGAAATCTTACAAGTTGAAAAGGGATTTTCCAGCATCAGTCATAATAAACGGAAGTTTACATCCATCTCCCTACACTTTGACATGTAAGTTATATGAATTAGTTAAAACAATCAAAGAGACTTGTTCAATCTGAAAAGTAATCGACAAAAGACAATCAATGACCCGGCTTCGTCGTCGTGAGGATGTCACAATCTTTTGTCACGATTGGCTTCGTCGTCGTGAGTTTGACGATTCACTGTCGTCGTCGACTGGCTTCCGTCATTATCAGTTTGATTCAGTGTCGTCGTCTTGTGGCTTCGGTAATCGGCGTTGGAGTTTTGTTTAGGGTTTGCAATGAAGAGAGAAAGCTGAAACGTCGACATTATATCAGTATTTATTGTTGCTGATCAAATAAAAAAAATAAAAACTAATGCCATAGATCGAATGGAGAAATTCTGATCCAACGGTCAGATAGCATGCCACGTAAGCTATCCGAATGATCTCTTCCTATTGGATATGTTCTTATTTATTTTTATCATCCCATTTTAAACGTTTTTGAGAAAGAAAAATATTGTAAAATTTAAATTTTGATTTGTATTATGCTATGAAGTTTTTATTTAATGTCCCTAGTATTTTTGAATAATTTTTTTAAGTTTTTTTGTTATTAGATTTAATAGTAAACTAAGTTTCAAATATTGAACTCTCTATACCCTAAACTCTATACCCTAAAGGGTATAGGGTATAGGGATTTAGGGTATAGAGTGATCAAAATTGAATTTTCATTCTGAAATTATTAAATTAACAATAAAATATATATTTGTCTATTTTTTTGTTAATAGATTATTAGTAAACTAAGTTTGAAGATTGAACTCTCTATACCCTAAATTCTATACCCTAAACCCTTTAGGGTATAGGGGTTTAGGGTATAGAGTGATCAAAATTATCAAATTAACAATAAAAATATAAGTAAACTATAATATTTGATTTTCATATATAATTATGTATAATTTAACAAATTAATTATCCATCAAATAATATTAATTGATTTTATGTATAAAAACAAATGAATTAATATGTGTGGATAATTTTGAAAAAGTAGACGTCTTCTATTTTGATGTACTGAGTTTTTTTTTTTAATAAAATATTAGTACATATATTTTTACGTCATATTTATATTTGTTTTTTTGATGTGTACTTTTGCATTCTATATTTAAAAAGATAAATATAACTGATAAAAAAAAAACATAAACTTATCCAAAAACACATACAAAATAAGTACTTTGTTTGTTGACTATGAGTACTAAAAAGTTGAAATCGAGATTATACTTAGAAAGCTTAGATGAACAAGAGTTTGTCATTTGGCCAAGCCACTGTAGTGCCTATTGCATCAGAAATGTATTCGATTTCTGAATTGGGTCTCCACACACATGCATCATCAATCTTAGAAACTTCTACCCACACTTTGCTAGCATTCTGACCTAATGGGACGTGATGGATAAGAACAGCTGGGTCAGTGGAGCACACTCTGCCTTCTGCAACTTTGCGGCCAGAGTTATTGCAGTCTAACAGGATGCACTTCTTCTTTACTCCTTTACCTGTGCTGGTGGTACTCACACTCTAGCACCCAAGACAACACAATTATTAATTACATTCATCACAACAACATCGATACTAACACATCAATTCTTTCACCAAAAAAAAAGAGAATGCTCATAAGTTACCGGAGTAGATGGTCTTCTGCCTACTTCCTGTGCTCCTTTGCATGTCTTGATTGTGTTACTTGCACTCTAGAACCCAAAAACAACACAATTATTTAACTACATCCATCACAGCAATATCAATATTCTAACACATCAATTTTTCACACTCAAAATTTTTTAAAAAAGAGAATGCTTAACATTTACCGGAGTAGATGATCTTCTCCCTACTGCCTGTTCAGGTGCATCCATTAATTCTAACCTATGGACTGGCCATGCTATCTTTGTTTTCAATGCATCACCCATCACAAACATTTCGGGACTTGGTCTCCACAAACAAGCTTCAGGTTTAAGGACCAAATCAACTATCAAAATAACAGCATTCAGACCCAAAGGTATGTTATCGATCAGCTCATCTTTGTCAGTGGAACATATAACACCCTCAGCAATAACTTCATCCATTTTCCAATCAAAAACTTTGAATCTACCAAGTTGGTCATCATCTGTACCAGTATCCTATAGTAGAGTAGTATCCATTAGTAAGCGTTTGATGCAACAAGTTAAAATACATTCCATGTTAATATATATTACCTTGCATCCACCTGTATTTTCTGAGTTATTCTGGCTGTCCAATCCGCTGTCCAATATAACTTTATCGACTGGCCATGCAATCTTAACTCCTAAAGCTTGCTGAAGTAAGAACACATCTGCTGTTGGCCTCCAAAGAGATGCTTCTGGAACTGATACAGAAGTGACGATGACCGCTGCGCCGTGTTCACCCAGTGGAATGCGGCCAATCCGATACTGAGGTTCAGCAGAGCAAAATTCTCCCTCACCAACAACAATATCTTTATTCGCATACCAATCCAGTATCTGACACCTAACTCCTTTGCCTACATCACTAACCTCAGATTGAGAAGTCCCAGCACCAGAGTTTTTCTAACAAATAAGAAAAAGAATTGTTGAAGACATAACTATATTCAGCTAATTCATTATAATAAGGAGAGATAAACTTACATTCTTTCCAACCAAGTCACGGATCTGATTCTTCAAGTCTTCAACCTCGTTATGCAACTCTTCAAGTCTAGAGTCTCTAGCCTGAATGAAAGCTAGCTTGGTAGCAGTTATCCCTCTGCCCATCCCTCTGACACGTCCAGGTTTGTCTTTTCCCAACACTTTACTGACAACATCTTCTCTTATGTTATCACCTGATGTGGAGTCCATTTGACTATCAAGTGATTGTATTTGTTCCTGATACAAATAATTGAGCACAAATCGGGTCATGTAGATTGCCTTAATGATCAGTGACAGAGACATTAAGAAGAGAAAGATTACTTACAATAGTGTCAGCAAACTCTGGCCTCACGGGTCTACCATCAGCGTGAGTGTGTCCTGCTATCCAAACCTTACTCCTAGTGATCTTTTTAGGGTCATCACTTTTTTTTTCTACAAATAAGCCAAAGTGATTACTTATCAGCTAGCATTTTGTTACCTTTTATTATACAATCTGATATTCATTACAGAAAAGAGTCTCACCATTTCATGAGCTAGGCGAAACATTCCCTTGCCACTACAAGAAATCAGCCCATTAACGACTACAACATTAGTCGTAAAATAGTCGTTAAACATGAAAAGACGACTATCATACGACTAATATATATAGTCGTCAATCCGTAGTCGCTAAACTTGTTAGTCGTTAAATTAGTCGTTATTTTGCGACTAAAGTACGACTATATCTGATGAAAGACATATTAGTCGTAACATAGTCGTAACTATAATACGACTAATTTACGACTATGCTACGATTAAACCGCATCTATAATTGGTCTCCTAAGTGTAGTCGTAACTTAGTCGTAAAGTTTTAGTGACTATGTTACGACAATTTGGCGATTAAAAATACGACTACGTTTATTAGTGACTACGTAGTCGTTAAATTTTGTGTCTAATATGCGACTATTAGACTACTATTTTTACGACTATTAGGCGACTATGTAGGTTGATAGAACAAAAGTTTGGTAGGCGACCCGAATTATAATTTGTTACGGTTCTGATTGTCATTCTATATCTATTTTTAAATATCAAAATTAACTTTTAAGGAAAGCAATAATACACATTAAGTTCTTGTTCAAACCATTTAAACATAGCAAACTACAAAAGTTACAGATCACACATAATGTTCATGTCAATGTTCAAGGGAAAAGGAATAGAGTTGGGAAATAGAGCAACCTATGGATCTTGTTGGGGAATTGGCTCTGTGGTACCAGCTGAAGAAGAATGAGTGGCCATGAAGTGGAGGAATTGAGGATCAGTTTGACGCAGATACTTCTCCACCAAGGACAAGTGCTCGAGCTTGTCCTTTTGCTCAGCCGCGACTCGAGCTTGCTCAGCTTCACGGGAAGCAACCTCAGACTCTCGCCTTTCATTATATGCAACCTGCTCTTCTATTTTGCGGTGAGCATCCTTTAGCTGTTCTTCCAGAGATTGAAAGGATGACGAGTCTCCAGGGTACTTGCGATTGCCACTGCCAAGAGTGTTCTTCAAACTTCCGATTCCATACGGATTTCCCCTTGCATCCCTCTCAGTGGACTGTGAAAAGAAACAGAAAAGCAGAGATTAGAGAATAACAACTTAAACTGCAAGACTATATGAATGTGTTTTGGGAAAATTTAACATAACCTGAAGAAAGATGGTGGTATACTCCTCTGTTGTGAGCTCCCGAGGTCGTGAAGCGCCATCAGAAACTGCAGAAGTATCTGCCTCTAGCTCATTCAACCTATCAAGCACATTCTGCTCATAAGTTTTTGCAATCTTCTCCGCTTTCTGTGACAATCAAACCAACATGTCTTCCTTCCATTAGGTAGATAAAATGACTTTGTACTTTCCATGCAAATTGGACAAGACAGTTTACCGTGGGTGGTCCATCCTGATAACATGCTATACGCCGGAAAATCGCTTATCGTCCACATCAGCACTGCTTTTAGATTAAAATTTTGATTCAATGACACATCAAATGCATCCACTCCAGTAGACCACAACTCTTTTAGCTCCTCAATAAGAGGTTGGAGGAAGACATCGAGACTACCTCGCGGATGATTTGGCCCAGAATTCAGAATTGTGAGAAACAAGTACTCTGTATTCATGCACATACCTGGGGGTAAATTATATGGAGTCAGGATCACAGGCCACAACGAATGATTACGAGACATCCCAAATGGATTGAACCCATCTGTACATAAGCCAAGATATACGTTTCGGGGTTCTTCCGCAAACTCGGGATTTTGCTCTTGGAAATATCTCCACTCTGCCGCATCTGAAGGATGATTCATTTCTCCTTCCTTTGATTGGTGCTCGGCATGCCATCGCATTGCCGCTGCTGTCTTGTGGCTCTGATACATTCTCTTCAATCGGTCACCAATAGGTAGATACCACATTCGACTATATGGTACTTTGGTTCTACGACGATCGTCCTTAGGCTTCCATCTTTGTGCACCACAAAACCGACATTGATCTTCTTTTCAGTTTCTTTCCAGAAAAGCATACAATTGTTCATACAAACATCAATTGTATGATATGGAAGACCTAAATTGCGCATCAATTTTTCGGTCTGGTAATGCGAACCGGTTGCCTGGTTTCCTTCTGGTAAAAAATCTGTAAACATTTGGCAAACCGAATCCACTAACTTTTCACTCATATTATACTCCGCCTTATTTTGCATGAGTCGAGCAGCTAACGATAACTGCGATTGACCTTCACGACAACCATCGTATAATGGATTTTGTGCACCTTCTAACAAGTCGTAAAATTTATTTGAATGGTTACGTACTGGTTCTTCGACATTCTGATAACTACCATCCTGATCATAGTTATCATCAAACCCCACGTTATAACGAAATGCATCGTTCACCATATCCACATAAGGATCTTCTACAACATAACCCACCTCTTCATGATTCTCACTTTGATATGTCCTATCAGTGTAACTGGTTCCTATATCCATATTGAGTTCTTCCCCATGTCTATACCAAACATAATAATCTGGCATAAATCCTCGACTAAACAAATGACTACTAACTCTTCTACCCGAGACCATATGTTTTTCATTCTTGCACACACTACAAGGACAGTGAAATTTACCGCGGTTACTCTGTACTATAGGCTGGCTATTAGCAAACGTCATGAATATTACCGCCATAATTTCCCGTCACTTCGTCGAACCGCTTGTACATCCACTCCCGATAACCACCATTACCGCCATAATTGTAATTTCCCGCCATTACCAATAAAATATAAAGAAACAAATTTTTTGAAAAGTGTTTATTCCAAATTCGTTTTTTTTTTTCGAATTCGTTTTTTTTTTCTTATGTGAAGGAAGAGAGAGGAGATGAGTGAAGAGAGTGAGTGCTGTTTTCTTTATATAGACAATTTTGGGCGACTAATTGGCGACTAAAATCTGTAGTCGCCAAAAAACCGGTACACCTACCACAAACGAAAAAAACGTGTTTCTTAACTGTAAAATACGACAAATTGGCGACCAATTGGCGACTAATTTACGACTCGCCGCATGAGTCGTAACGTAGTCGCCAAAAAAGCGACTAATACATACTGTCGGAAAATAGTCGCTAAATTAGCGACTAATATACGACTAGAATATATATTCTACTTATTAGTCGGTAAATAGTCGCCAAATAGCGACTACATTACTGACAACCTGTTTTAGTCGCTAAAGAGCGACTAATTTACGACTACTTTGCTTTAGTCGTTAAATAGTCGTAAAATAGTGACATAATAGTCGGTAAAATTGGCGACTAAATTAATAGTCGGAAGCTGTAGTCGGTAATCGACTGTTTTCTTGTAGTGTGCGGCTGGTAGTGTGGGGAATCTGAGCCCTCCTCAATGCCCTGAACTTGTTACTTTTTTCCTGCAATATCAATCAAGTAGGTTTGGTTATTTTTCTCCAAGACAAATCACATGAATAACAAAGAAAATAGTAACAAGTGTAACCTTAAAAGCTGTGCTAGTCCTACTCTTAATCCAAGAGTTCCAAACTGGAATAGATGGGATATTGCTTGGTTTCAATTTCATTCTCTCTGTGCTACTCTTTGCATCTCTAACTAGACCTAGGAGCTTAGACTTTGAAGACCTCCATATACAACCCATCTGCTTGAAAACAGATTCTTTCTGCCACTCTTCTTGCAAATTAAACCTCCCATGTAGCAAAATAAACATAAATTAGACTTGATAGTTTAATAAGAATATCAGAAATTGTAAATACTGTTATACACTAATGTTCATAAACCTGTATTTCCTCCCAAAGTGTATCCTTTGTCTGACTATCCAGTTTTCTCCAATCATCAAGTGTTACCGGAACATGTTCACGCACAATAGCACCAACAAATGATGATAGTGTCACTGAACCAGGACCTACATGTTCACCAAGCTCAGTGAATGACACTTCAACCCTGTCCTGAGGATCCTTAGCCACTTTACGCATCTTGGTCGGCCCTCTTCTCTTCTTTATAGTGGGAGCTGACTGCGGTGTTCCTAGTCCTGAAGTGCTACGCATCTCAGTTCCAGCATCAGTACGCTGAGAGTCATCTTCCCTAGCATTAGGTTCAGATGCAACAGGTTGAGAATCTTGATTCATATTGTCAGTTTCAACTGCCAAAGGTTCAACAGTCTCATCATCATCTTGAGCATCTACTTGCTCAGCAGGTTGTTGACTAGTGTTAGCAACTTCTTTCTCAGAAACAGTTTGATCAGGATCACCATCAGCTTCCTCAGCAGCTACATCACCAGATTTCTGAACTTCTTGAACAGGACCACCAACAACTTCCTCAGCAGCTATATCACCAGACTTCTGAACATCTTGAACAAGATCACCAACAGCTTCTTCAGCTTCCTCAAGGTTAACAACATCAGTCATCACTTCTCCTATTCTTTTTTTCTTTGTTTTGGTGGCTTTTGGCCGCTGCATGACTGTTACAGCATCCAAGCCTTGTTGACGTTTACTTCGACGGACTAATCCTCCTCTTGTCTTCATCACTTAAGATCCTGCAAAACGAAACATGAAAGTAAAATTAAAAACATCACTGCAATTCTCCTATCACAATGACCTATTACTCTGCAACTGTGATCCCTTCACAATCCTCCCTAACATAGAAACTCTCATCATCAGAAGATTGAATCTCTAAATCATCAACTGGTTGGGGTGATAAAGGTGCACCAACAAACTCTTCCTCTGTCTCCAACTCGTGGTAGCCCCTAGGAGGAGCCCTCATAACAACATACCAAGGTGATGTGTCATTCTCTCTGGAATAGAAAACTTGTTTTGCTTGTGATGGGAGAATATATGGATCTTGGAGATATGACGATTGATTCATATGAAGGTTCACAAGCGTGAATCCATCCTCTTCCTTTACACCATACCCTCTATTGGCCCAACTGCATTTGAATAATGGCACTGTGAACATGTGGTAGTCCAGAAGTATAATTTCCTTAATCACTCCATAGTAAGTAACTATGTCAGCCATTTGTCTAGTGTCTCGTGCAGTAGATCTACACATGCTAAAAGCTTCATAAGTCACTCCACTATTCTGTGTCTTCCGCTTAACGTCATCAGTGTGAAAGCGATGCCCGTTAATGACAAACCCTTTGTGGGTTTGAGCAGTTAGTCTAGGTCCAAATGCCAACCACCGAAGCTTCGTCGAGTGATCTTTTGAATTAGAAGGAATCTGGCAAACATAAACAATATCAGTGACAGAAATTAAAACATGAAAAGACTGTTAAAGTAAAGAAAAATTAGAAATAGATATGTAGAAACCTTTTTTTTATCCACTGGGCAAACTGATCTGTATGATATTTCCATAAAATAGTTTCATTTCTAGCGCATCGAGCATCCTGAGACTGCAATTCTTCCAAATGCATCCTGTTATTCCATAGTAGAGCAGTTATCTTATCTGTGTGATAGGTAAAGAAGCTGTAAATGAGAGAGTATGGTTCAACTTACTCCACATAGGGATCCACAGCTGCCAAGTTCATCAAGACATATCGATGTGCTATGTCTCTCTCTTTCTCTGAAAGGACAACTTCTCGACCCTTATGCAATGGTCTGCCTTCAACAACACTTCCATCAGCCTCAACATCTTCGTTACGGTTTACAGCTTCTTGCACTGGTACAGAATTCTGTAGGAACTCTAAGCAGAAAGAAATGCATTCTCCGGCCAAGTATCCTTCAGCCATACACGCTTCTGGTCTTGCATAGTTTTTTACATATGCCTTAAGTGTTTTCATGTACCTGCAACTCATTCAAGAATTCATATTTGTACTCATTATGTCAGAAAATAGCATGTCTCAAAACACAACATGTAAAGATAGAAATAAGATAAGAACAAACCTCTCGAAAGGATACATCCAGCGAAAGTGCACCGGACCTCCCAACCGTGCCTCTCTTGCTAGATGTATTGGGAGGTGGAACATGATATCAAACAGTGAAGGAGGAAAGAACCGCTCCAGTTGGCACATTGTCTCTACAATCTCAGACTCTAAAGAAATTAGCTTCTTTGGGTCAATCGTACGTTGGCACAATCTGTTGAAGTAGTTGCAAACTCGAGTTACCGCAGTCCTAGGGCCGCTTGGCAGCAACCCTCTCAACGCAACAGGTAACAAGTTTTGAATGAGTACATGATGATCATGGGACTTCAAACTCCCAATCACAGGAGGGTTGACTGAAACACAATTAGCAATATTCCCGCAATAACCATCAGGACCTCTGAAATTAGACAACCTCTTGCAAAATACCTTTTTCTCTTCCTTAGACATCCAGTAAGCTGCTGGAGGCAAATATGTTTTCTTTCCCCGTACCTCTGGGTGCAGATACCTTCGGATTCCAATATCTTCCAGGTCTTTTCTTGCTTTCAAGCCATCTTTTGACTTGGCACTTTGCATCAGTGTAGACAACATAGCATCAGACAAGGTCTTCTTCACATGCATCACATCAATATTGTGACGCACCGGTAAATCCTAAGACAAAGATAATCAAAGAGTCAGCTTTACGATCATATTCTCATGTCAATTTACTTAAGTTAAATTTAAAAAACAACAAAATCTATTACCTTCCAGTAAGCTAACTCAAACAATATTGACCGCTTCTTCCACCGCCACTGATCAGTGCTTTCATCACACTCTTCCTCTGGAACCGCCTCATCTTCTAACAAATCTGATCTTTTTCTTTTAGCTTCCTTATCTAAATCTCTTCCAAAATCATTCCTGAAGTCTTTCAGTGTGTCAAATATTTCAGTACCAGACTGAACCCTTTTTGCAGTGCCTTCCTCGATATTGTTATCAAACCATGCTTTTCTGCGTCTGTAAGGATGTCCAGGTCTGAGTCGCTTTCTGTTACCCATATACACATACTTTCGACAGTTCTTCAACCACCTACAAGGTGTATCCTTTCCACATACATTACACGCTTGTTTCCCTTTCACTTTACATCCAGACAAGGTCCCTAACGCAGGATAGTCACTGATACTCCACAACAACATAGCTCTAAGTGTGAAATTCTCTTTCAAAAATGCATCGTAGACCTCAATACCCTCATTCCACAAATCCTTTAAATCATCAACCAATGGTGCAAGATAGACATCAATATTGTTGCTGGGAGCTGTTGGACCAGGAATCAACAAAGTCAACATTATATTCTCAGCCTTCATACACAGAGTTGGAGCCATATTGTAGTTCACTAACAATACTGGCCAAGTACTATACTTGGTGTTCTGAATGGAGAAAGGGTTCATCCCATCTGTAGAAAGACCGAGACGAAGATTTCTTGGATCAAGAGGAAACTCTGGCCATTTCTCATTCACCTGAGCCCAAGATATAGAATCAACAGGGTGTCTCATTGTACCATCTTCACTTGCATTACTCGAATGCCAACGCAACTCCTCAGCAATCCTTTTTGATCTAAACATCCTCCTAAATCTGTCCTTGATTGGAAAATATCTAAGGACCTTCGCTGGAATACCCTTCTTTTCCTCACCACTATGCTTATCCATTTCCCATCTAGAAGCACTACATCTAGGACAACTTTCCATCTTATCAAACTGTTTCCGATAGAGGATACAGTCATTCTTGCATGCATGAATGACATCATATCCAAACCCAAAAATCTTCAAGAACTTCTTCATTGCATCTGTAGACTTTGGCAGAACATTGTCTTTAGGAAGCATGTCATGGACTATCGTCAATAGCTGATCAAAATAGTTCTCTGACATTCCACTCTTCACTTTGATGCGGTAAAGGCCCATTATCGCAGAAACTTTGGTGTAATTAGAGCACGTCGAGTACAATGGAGTTTCAACATCTCTCAACTTCTTCCTAAACTCAGAGTCTTCTGTAGTTTCACCCTCCTCAGTTTCTCCTCCAATGTTGTTTGATGGCTGTGGACTGCCTTCACCAGTAAAATAAGCCGTCCTAAGCAAATCATAAGCCTCAGTTTCTGATGTGGGAACACTATCAGAAATATCAGACTTTCTTTCACCATGCATACTCCAACACGAATTCCTCATGTATTTCTTATCCATACCCTTGATCACAAGATGGTCCACTACTGTGTCTACAAGTTGATGGCAAACATTGCGGCAATCGATGCAGGGACAGAAAATTTCAGATGGATTCCCCAACCTCCTTGATGATGCAGTCACAAAATTTGTTGCTCCTTCCACATACTCTCGGCTAGCCCTATATGTTAAATCAGACCATACAGAGTTCATATCATTATAATCAGACCAAAAAAGTATTTGAATGAAAATACAAAAGTTCATATCTCAAAGAGACTCATACCTTGGAAGCCACACCCATGCCTTGTCCATATCACAACAATAGGACCACAGCTCCACCACCGATTTTACAATTTATGAGGATAAATTCAAAGTATATATAAGACACTCAACTCAGTTTTACTCAAATCAACACATACTACCAATGAAACAAATGAGTTAGAAAATAACAGATTACGGATTAAAAACAATCGCCAACAACAAAACCTTGCAACTTTGAAGACTGTCTGCAAAAAACAAAATCGACATAATCACTACCTTAGATAATAAAACACAACTAGATTAATCTTTAATCAAAATCTCACATACCTGTTATTTCTTCGAGTGCGAAACTGAACTGCAAAAACAGTCAAACATAAACAGATAAATTAGAAATCGATTATCAAAATCAAAACAATTAAATCAAATTCTGAAATTGAAAATCGATGAACTAAACTTTGAGTATAAATCCAAAATTCCCAAATTTCACCGATTCAACCAAACTTTGAGTTTAAATCTGAAAACCCAACCCTTAGTTTACCTTAAATGCAAAAATCGACCAAACAACTTCGATTTTACACCGACCCAGACGACGAAGATTAAGAAGACTTAGATCGACAAAGCTTTGAAATAAAAGACAGAGATTGATAGAGAGATCAAGAGAAACAGAGATTGATAGAGAGATCGAGACAAAGAGAGATCGAGAAAAAGAGATTGATAGAGAGATCAAGACAAAGAGAGATTGATGTAGAGATCGATACAAAGAATGAAGAAACGAGACTGGGTTTAAGTGGATCGAAACAGACGAGCAATAGAACAAACTGGAATCATCGATTCTCGGAGAAATTGTGGATTGAGAAACAAAGGAAAAACGAGAGAGAAATGGGTGTTTTGTCAAAGACAGAACCCTAATTTTAATGAAAGTAACACAATTTTTTTCCCAAGTTTTTCTTTTGTTTGGCGGTCAACATTATTTTCGCGGTCAACGAAAATTTTTAATTCGCGGTTGACAATGGTATAGCGTTTCAATTATGGTTATGCTATCGAAAACCCAGATAATTAAGCGGGAGCAGAATTACTTTTTGCCGCGTAACATAGCATAGCGTTTAGTTTCACGAAACGCTATCAATAATCAGGGCAAACATAAACTATAGCATAAACAAACAAAACACTATCTTCAAATGCTATTAATACGCGTTTTTCCTGTAGTGTAGGAATTTCATCGAACACTTGGTGGGCATTATAACAATCAAACATAGTCCTGCATATTTTATCACTCTACCAAGGAGAGATATCACCAAACTTGACATGAACCCAGAATTACGAGAAACAAGAGATAAATCCAGCGTAATTCGACCCAAATCAGAGAAGAACTAAATGTAAAATTGGTTGTTCCTGGGTATATCACACCGGAGGGTTTCAAAGTATAAGAAACGTATGAGGAAGACGAAAGATAGAAAAAGCTCTAACCTTTAATGCTTCCGAATCTAAACCCAATTGCTTAGCAGAACTTTCTGGTTCGTAAAGCCCTAAAACCTCCTCACTGTTTTCAAAGAACTCCTCGAGCGAGTCTTTGAATAGCCTTTTCCATGAGAAGGGATATGAGGATGAGAAAGCCGTAGACTACGGCAACCGCCCAAGATTATTATACAATTCTTCAATCACAAAACCAAAGTCAAATCGTGAAAAACGAGAAAGAAAGAGGAGAATCTGGATCCAAAGGGTTGAAACGAAGAAGATCTAAGTGGAGATGGAAAAAAGAAAAACCTAAGAATCAGAGATTCAGATAAAAAACAGATTTCGAAAAGACAATCAACTTCATATTATCAAAATCAGATTTCGAAAGTTCATCATCTTTCTGGAGAACCCTATCGACGCCGTTACCTGAAATTTCTGGCGTCGGAGAATCCTATGGACGCCGCGAGCCATCTCATGGAGATTCCGCAATCAGATCCATGGTTCTAGTTAGAAAAGTGAATTCTCGTATCGACGGATATCGGGAGATATTGACTGAAATTTTTTTTATGGGAAATTAGAAAAAAATGACTTTGAAAAAAAAGACTTGGGAAAAAATAGTTTAATTCCCTCAAACTCAAAGAAATTGGTGATAAGTTCCGCCAAAACTAAAATTTGGCTAAGTGTTGGCGCTCATACGCGTTATTTTAGTTTTGCATAGTATATTTAGGTTTAGCGTTTTTATAACGCTATTATATAGTCTCATTTCCAGAATAAATTATAGTATAGCATTTACGAAAATTGCGCTATGTTTTTCTGCTATCAATACCCATATTTCTTGTAGTGTACACACCTAGTCATGACGGAGCAATTCATCAATGACATTTTGAAAGTATGCTTTGTAGCCCTAAACTTCCCAGTAGATTTGCTCAATTGAAAGTTTTCAATTATCCGCCACTCTCCAGCAACAATTGTTCTAGCAAACTTGTTAACTTGCTGTTTCTTCACAGTCGCATAGATTAGAGTTCCCTGAAATTTTTATAAACAATAAAATACTTGCTACCAAAAATAAATAAAATAAAATACTAACATCAACATCAGCAAGGATCATTTCTATAGTTTCACCGGTGTAGGCAGTGTACTGTCTCCACGTGTGAACAATTTTCACTTGAACCCTCCAACTTGTTTTGAAAGGCTTGATAGTTGCAAGACTCGTTAAAGCACTGGCGGCCATATTAAAAAATGGGAATTTAAATTGCTATTGTTATTTTTTTTAACTCTGAGGATGTATTTTGCATACACCACTCATCACTATTTATAGTACTATAGATGCCCTAGGTGGAATATTCGTGTTTATGTGTTATTTTGTATTGAAAAATTTTTCGCCCAAAAAGATTTGCAATAGATTTATCAAAGATGCGATAAACGATCAAATTTTACCGGTAATATTCAAAATATGAGATCGTTTCCTAATTTATAAACGACTCACAAAAATCTAAATATTTTAGGAAAATTTTCTAGTCGATCATATCTATATTTTAGGGAACGTTTGATAATGTAATTATCTCCAAATTACTTGATGAGAAATCCGCGCGATTTTAAATATTTGATAGTTAATTAGAATATATTTTAGGAAAGGATAATATTTTGTTAGCTTGTTATATTGCGGTTTAGTTTTTCTGCGCGATATATGGAATTAGGATTTGAATATTTGAATTACTCGAAGAAATCCATATCTTTTATATTAACTACTTGATAGTTAATTAGACTATATTTAAGGAGAGGCAAATATTTAGTTTACTTGTTTTATTGCGGTTTGGTATTTATGCGAAATATATGGAATTAGCATTTGAATATTTGAATTACTCGAAGTTTTTCATATCTTTTATAGAAACTACTTAGATACTCGGATATCCATAATTAATACGAAATTTATTTTTGGTAACTATATATGCGTGAGATTAGTTATGTAAATATATAAATACACGTAGACAAACCGCTAATAGAACGGATTAGAACACTATCCAAACATAACCTTATTAATCTCACGTTAAAAAAAATTAGAAGCTAATTAGGTGTGTTTGGATACACCCTCTATAGTAAGGGCAAAATATAATGTTTTTTGAAAAACTATAGGTTAAAATCGTTTTTGTGCTGCCGCTTTAATATAATAGACTATATTTAAGGAGAGGCAAATATTTAGTTTACTTGTTTTATTGCGGTTTGGTATTTATGCGAAATATATGGAATTAGCATTTGAATATTTGAATTACTCGAAGTTTTCCATATCTTTTATAGAAACTACTTAGATACTCGGATATCTATAATTAATACGAAATTTATTTTTGGTAACTATATATGCGTGAAATTAGTTATGTAAATATATAAATACACGTAGACAAACCGCTAATGGAACGGATTAGAACACTATCCAAACATAACCTTATTAATCTCACGTTAAAAAAAATTAGAAGTTAATTAGGTGTGTTTGGATACACCCTCTATAGTAAGGGCAAAAATGGAATGTTTTTTGAAAAACTATAGGGCTCCGAATGGTGACAGCGGACCGGACGGTGTGGAACAAGCGGATTGAGTAGTGCGGTGCGGTTTTGAAGCGGTGCGGTTAAAAAAATGCAGTATGCGGAACAAGTGCGGTTTGTTCGAAACAAGCGGTGCGGGATAAATTTCGAATGATGAAAAAAACAACATGCGGTGCGGTTCAAATGTTTGAATGGTGAAAATGTAAAAGCGGTACAAAATATATATTTTCGATAAATGTTTTAAAAATAATAAATAAATTATAATAATTTTATAAATAAATAATTAGTATATTATAATAAATAGATTTTCTAAATATTGACCAAACATTTTTTATATATTATTTAACAACAATAAACAAACAAAATTAAAATTTAGTTTGTTGGTAGAAACAAGTAAAAGATACATTAAAACAACAGAGTAAATTAATACAATACAAAATATTATCGAATACGTTGATTTTCCCATAACATATTAGCAATATTATCTCTTATTTGCGCCATATGCTCTCTATCTGCTATCTCTGATGCTTCCATATCATCGAAATCAGGCTCCCAATCTGTGTTGTGTATCTCTGTATCCATCATTACTTCTGCAAAATCCGCATCTGAGAAATTCGAAATTTTGATAAAATTGTGTAATCCCATTGTAGCCATCACCACTCTCTTTTGCACATGAATACTATATCTCGGAAAATCAGTAAGAATCCTCCATTTCTTCTTCCAAACTCCGAAAGTTCTCTCGATAATAGAACGTAGTGAAGCATGACATCGATTAAACATCTCCATTTTATTCCTCGGAGGTGGACCGGAGTGGAAAGACGACATATGATATCTCACAACTGAATTTCTTGACGATCTGTAAGGAGCCAAAAACCCTTGTTTGTTTGGGTAGCCAGAATCAACGACGTAATACTTCTCTGATGGGGGTAAAGGAAACTCGGAATCACTTCGTTGCGCCATTGCGAGAACAGCTGTATCGTGACATGATCCCGATGCTCCGTTCCAAATATACGTGAATAACATATTCAAATCACATATTGCCATGATGTTCAAAGATGCATTATCGTGTCGATTCCAATACATTCCTTGTAAC